ACAGCAATGAGTTTGACTTCTTCTTATTCATGAGCGCCCACATTGAGCGCGCGTCGGCCATGGCGAAGGAACAATCACGTTGAAGGCAGCTAGAAAAAAAAAAAAAAAAAAAAAGAGAGAGAAGAGGGGCTGAAGCCGACAGAATATATATATATATATATTGAAAAATAATAAAAGTAATAAAGGAAGGAATCATGGGATTATGCTTGCGATTTGTGCGTACGGGGTGTGGCCGCGTGTGATCCTGGCAGTCTGTAAATATGAAATTCCTACGTTTATTATTATTATTTAGTATCATATTTTACGTCATGCTGAGTGTTCAACTGAGTGGATGATTGACTGAACTCCCTTTCTTTCTTTCTTTCTCTCTCTCTCTCTCTCTCTCTCTCTCTCTCCCTCTCAGACGGCATGGGCGTTGTCTTGAGTTAATAGATGGATGTATACCCACACAGACGGAAGGAAGAAGAAAGAAAAAAAAAAAAAAAAAAAGATTAACGCGACACGATTTTGTTGTTGTTGTTTTTTTCTTTCTTTCTTTCTTTCTTTCTTTCTTTCTTATTTCAGTTGATTTTATATATATATTTTTTTTTTTAACGGAGGCCTGTCGGTCCGTTCCTGCATGTAATGCCACTTCTTTTTTGACTGCTGCTCTTTTTGTTGTGGGGGAATAAATGAGTGACCGAAAAGAAAACAAATCGAATTGAGACGCACGCAAAAAAAAAAAAAAAAAAACAGAAAAAAAAAAAAAGGGTGAGAGGAGGAGCTGTTGGATTTGTTTGTTTGAAACGGTTGAGATGTGGAGAGAAATTAATTTAAAAAGATAGAAGGAGAGAAACGTACTTTGAAAAAGTGGGCAAAAGGAGGATGTGGCAGCAGCGGCATAAATATTGAAAAGGAACAAATAAAAATAGACAGAGGGTGAAGGAATATAAATATAAATTTATATATTTTTTTTTATATTACAGTGAAAATAATTTTAAAAACGAAATTTATTTTTATTTATATTTCTTCAAATACATGTTTTTTTTTTGTTTTTTTTGTTTTGTTTGTTTGCGTGCGTCTTAATGCTTTCTTTTTCTTCAATACAATAATAATACAATATATATATACACATATAGGTATAGTGCAGGAGCTTTTTTTTTTTTTTTTTTTTCTGTTGTTGTTTTGTATTCCTCCATCTTTTATTGGGAAAATATTTATTATTGAGGGGGGGGGGGGGGG